AGAACTCGATATATGCGATTCAAGTGAAACAACCTACGAGAGACAAACCAGTCTTTTATGGCGCATGGAAAGGGGCAATTCGTAGCATACAGATGGTGGTAAGGCCTTTTACTGGAAGAAAAGAATAATCTGAACTACAACATCGAGGACTCTGGGTTCTGCTCGTAAAACCTGAGACCACAAAGGTGCGCACGTTAGACGGATGGGACCTAAATATGTGCGTGTTAGGAGTCTTAATGTGCTAGACTTGTTTCATTAAAAATCATAACATATTCGTGAATGCAAACGAATCCAAGCTCTCGGCTTTCCGAAACAAATTAAAAAATTAGAAAACAATTTTAGTTCGCCTTGGGCTTCATTCAGTTTCGAATATTCGTCTCCCAGCTCCCAAGACCAAAGCAAGGTGAGTAAAATGTTTCTGAGTGCTCAGGTGTCTGCCTTGCCCAACATCAGGCTACAAAACGCGGGGAGGGGACGAAACTAACCATGTCAAGAGCCAAAGTTGAAAGCAAGCCTCTTTCTGAGCGTATTTAAATACAAGTTGCGATGGGGCCATTGTAGATGTAAAGATGAACAAGACAATCGGACGTTTGGTTACGTGAATATTTCAGTTCGGTTTTTTTAACGAACTACCACTACAGCAACGTCAACTCCGCTGAGGGATGTCAGTCGGCAGTGATTCCTGAAAATTTCATATTCCTGCACCAAAATTGCGACTCATGAGGGCTATTTAAGAGCTGCAAGTTGACGTGAACTGCTTTCTGAATGGGGTGGACAACACCTAAGAATTTAACCGTAATTTGTTTCTCTTTGTTTGCTCTGTTTTATATGTTCTATTTCGTGAACCAAGTATAACCACGAGTTTGCGCCCGCATTTTTATGACGGATGGAAGCATTATGTAATTAACTGTTTTCTCCCATAAGGACCCAACAGCGTGCCTATTTATATGATCAGAACGGGCTCAGATGGAGCGCTGAAATGCGTCAAAATGATCTTCGGTCCTTCCGTTATCAGTTGAATGCTATATATTAGTGAATTTATACAGTCTAAGTATGAACGATCTTCTGTCTGATGCAAGCTATTCAGTTCAGCTGGTCTGGGGGAAAAACGTGCGTGCACCTTCGAAGGTGCTATAGTTCACGTGTAAATAAGGATTATTGGCAATAATGTGGGAGAACTGCAGAGAGCAATGATATGAACCATGGTTTGTCATCAGCATGAATGTATGTAGGTTACGTAGTAATATAGCCTGCGAGGTGCTGTAACTGATAACAGCCAAGTTAAGTCTCAAGATTTGCACCAACTAAGGAGTAATAATCTCTTAATGAAGGCTAATTGATTGATAATTTTAATTAATACCAGTTTACAGGCATTGTCAAGGGAAGCGTTAAACACAGATCCGACCAGCAGTGAAAAAACTCCTGAGGTAAAGGAATAAAAATATAGTTGATGGTGGTTTTTATGGTTTGGAGGGTTCAGGAGAAAAAACTGCTGACAGTGTACAATCGACCGTCAAGAAGGGGGGGTTGCACGGTATCGGAGATTATCGGACGTCAATTCATTTCATGGAGTTGGGGATAGTCAAAGTAGAGGCGCCGAAGAACAGCTGTCGCTGTTGGCCAAAGAAATTGTCCCTGGTGAGACCAGCCATAGTGTTCAGGGATCACAAACGCCATCGCTACGGTACAGTTGATCAGTGCATTCAGCACCCAAATGTTGTGGGAGCTATTCTGAATGCCAAAATCGAGTAATAGTTCTCTTAAATGAAGGATAATTTTGCAAATTTTTCACAATCATGGGTAGTTTATTCCAAATAGCAATTGCATTTACAGAAAAGAACCGACGATATTTAACAGTACGTGCCAGAGGCAGAAATAAGAAGACCTCACAGTGACTGTTACGTCGTGGGTGGATATGATGTCTTAAAGAAGTGAGCGGGTTAAATATGTGATTATATAAGAGTTTAAATAGCAAAAATAGTCCCTTTTGTAATCTACGGAACCATAAAGGATCGAGGCCTGTAAGCCGGCAACGTTCTTGGTACGACAAATGTCGGTGTTCCGGGGTTAAAATTCTCTTGGTAAAAAAAAGTTGAACGGATTCTATTTTCTTCCGCTCAGTAGCACGCATGAGGCTAAATGAAAACGAACAGTATTCCAGACCAGGTCTAACGTACATGTTGAAAAGGCGCATTCTAATGTCCCTAGTTTTAAAATTTCGGAGGATAAACCCGGTCGTTCTACGTGCTTTGGAGACTATCAAGGCACAGTGCTCCGAGAGATTGAGACTCTTGGAGTATGATACGCCCAGATCCTTTCTAACCCTGGGCACATTTATGGCGTGGCCTTCAATACCTAGTTGAGGTTGGCGGTCGCCGCCAACCACCAAGACTGAGCACTTATGCCAGGAAAGAGAAAGGCGCCATGTGCGGCATCACTGGGCGAAAGCCTGAAGATCGCTCTTTAGGAGCTCGAGTACGATGTCATGATCTGCCGGCTTAAATCGATATGCAACTTTAAGATCATCGGCATACATGAAAGGCTTACCATTCTGAAATAAATCGGGTACATCATGAACGAAAAGGCAAAATAAAAGTGGGCCGAGTATACTATCCTAAATGAGTCCACTCCTCACACTTGTGGGGTTGGAGAGAGTACTGGAAATCTTAACTCCTTGTGTACGTGTGCCCAGATAAGAGGATATAAAATTCAAAAGTTTGCCACCTATTCCGAAAGATGACAGTTTCAAGAGAAGAAGGCCATGGTCAACACGATCAAAAGCCTTAGTGAAATCGAAATATCCTGTGTTAAGTGCAAAACCATTGTCCGTAGATTGGAGAACATAGCCAAAGAAAGAGAATCGACAGGTTTCACAAGACCGAGCTTTGAGGAATCCATGCTGCGCGGGAGGGTGTTTATTGGCCAAAAGTCATCAAATGACGTAGATTTGCCGTACTTAGGAATGGGCAAAATGTGTGATTCCTTCCACAGAGTAGGATAGGTTTCGCTTTCAACAGCGAGATTAAATAACTTGCATAGGAGGGATGGGAAGATCGTGTTTGCATCGGCTTTTAAAATGCTTACTGTGACACCATCAGTGCCTGGACTATAAGCTTGACTTAAACGCCAATCGCAACAGTTACAACCCACAGAGTGAAAGTTATAGTTTCTAGAACTGCCGCGGTCAATGCCTGGATGGTCGGAAGCGGAGTGGTCGAGTCTTCAATGAACGATTTGGACAGGAAATCATTGGAGCTATCAGCGGCTAACTGGGCATCAACTACGGGCTTTCCGATAGCGTCTCGGAG